GTGATGGGTTCCAGCTGGAAGGGCATCTGCTGCATGAAACATATGCTGGATGAGTTGGCAGTTCATTCCGCTGTGGCAACCCCGGCGTAATAAAGGGACTAAGCCGAAAAGAAAATGAATGAATGAATGAATGAATGAATGAATGAATGAATGAATGAATGAATGAATGAATGAAGTGTATTTGTGTTCACGTTTTTATTTGTAGATTGTTGTCAGATATGCTGTGACTCGTTGATATTGATAGTTTCGGATGTACAGCACATATTGCAGACACAGAATGTTTCACATGTTTAAAGTTAATTACAAAAATTAAACTTCAGAAACTGGGATTGGACTTTTCAGTTAGTATGCAGCTCTCATTAGGACTGTAATGCAGCATTTTTCATTTGATGTCATAATTACCCATTGTTTTATTGATTTTCCACATCTGTTCAGATATACTTAATTTCTTTGCTTTGTACAGTATAAATTAGGGATGTCAAGATCCGATCACAGATCGATGTCCGGAATACCCGATCACACGGTTTAAAACTTGATTGGCATCGGACGTTACCTCCCGTTCAGGACTCAAATATATATACACAGATCTACCAACTACCTATGGCGTTATTTCAATGAAAAATGTCATGAGCATTGTATTTCAAGTCGAGGTTGTATTTTAATATGTGCATAAGAATCTCTTTGCTTGCGCACAGTCAGTCAGCATGTCACCTTGAAGCAGGCATGTCCAAACTCTGTCCTGGAGGGCCGGTGTCCTGCAAAGTTTAGTTCCAACTCCAATCAGACACACCTGGGCTAGCTAATCAGGTTCTTAATAGGCTTTCTAGAAACATCTTTGCAGGTGTGTTTAGACAAGTTGGAGATAAAATCTGCAGGACACCGGCCCTCCAGGTCTGAGTTTAGACACCCCTGCCTTAAAGCGTTAAACAAATAATGCACAGCACTACTACAGTTACAGAAAAGTTTAAGCTGTTATAATTCACTTACCTGTTTAACGGCAGGTAGAACACGCAAGCAGCTTTAGGCGGAAATTGCGAGTATGTCTGCGGTAGATGTATTATAAAGTTGATGATGACAACATTGCCATAGCAAACTGTGAGAAATTTAAACTTGGGATTAGATTTTGGGTATTTTAAGTTAAGGTGCTATTTGTTTTCATATTCATTTTTTTTAAATATTTACTGTTTCACTAAAGTCCAAAAGTGAAGAATTTATATTATTGATTACTTGATTGTTCAAGCTACCTCACAGAAGTGCTCTGTTTGTTAACAGAGTTGTTGAATTTTATAATATGGTGAATTAAATAAAGAATAAGGAACATCCTGGATCTGTTTCTTCGCTCTCATTCATTTATTTTTTTATGGATTTTAGAACTATCATATCGGGTTTCTGAATGCTCAAAATCAAATGACTCAGATTCAAGGGCAAAAAAACCTGATCAGGACAGTATAAATTATTCTAAGGCCATTTGTTTATTGATACACAAGCACTAGTGTTACAATATAAGTTTATACCAAAGTGTTTGGCATTAAATCCTATCTAAATATGCACAAATGTCTTAAGAGTGACTCAAAAAAAAATAGCATCCCTTGAGAAAAAAGTGCACTTAAAAAGTAGCAACATTTTTAGAAAACTACTTGTTATGCATACTTGTCAAACTAAATGCAATGCTTTCAGACTCTTAACTGCATATTAATTGCAATTAAATGAAATGCATTAGTTGAACCTTAAAGGGCTGTTTGACCTACTTTACTGAGACTTTATTTGTAGTTTCATAATTACTTCTGATGTCTTTGTAATATGGTATGTGTGCTGTTAAATGAAAACCATTTACAATACACTAAAATATCATTTAATGTAATATTTTTATTGAGGCTTTATATAAAATAGTATGTATTGTTAAGCTTTTTAAGTACACATACTTATGCAGCAGTGTAATAAAAACTTTATTTAGCTAATAATAACAAAGGTAAATAAACAGCATGAAAAAATATAAAGAATTTAAGTAAGGGCATAAAATAAATACAGGGTAAATGCAAAATATGAAATAGCTATAAAGTGAAGTAAATTAGAGTACATTTATTAGAACTATATAAAAAATTGGCATATACTAAATTAAGTAAATGACCAGACCAACACTTGCAAGAAGTGACTCGTTTAGTCAAGGAAATGCCTGAAAACAGGTCTTTCGAAGACTGTGTTGGTTTGCTGTTGTGACACCACTGTGCCTGTGGGCTGAGTCACTCTTGACAGCTGTTGAGGGCTTGTGTTTCTTCTCTTCTGCAGTGATTCCTATTATCTGTCAGCATGGGGAAGACTTCCAATCAAGGTTCTTATAGTTTAGCAATTTTAAATTAGTTTTTATTTCAGTATGCTTTTTTTTTTATTTGCTGTACATTTCAGTTGGTCCCACTTTATATTAAGTGGCCTTAACTAATATGTACTTACACAGGAATTAATAGTTTGTTACAATGTACTTATTGTGTAAATACATGTATTCACTGAGTACTTATGCTTAATTAAATACATGTATTTATTTACATCTGTAATTAACTTTTGTTATTACATTTGTAAATACACTGTTGACCATCCCTTACACCTTAACCCACCCTTAATGCCACCAAACCTGTTCATAACCCAACTTCTATTCCAACTCAAATGCACCACAAGTGTTCTCAATTGCATTATAAACACAGTAAGATACAATATATTTATTTTTTGATGTAAGTACATAGTAGTTAAGGACACTTAATATAAAGTGGGACCTTTCAGTTTAGTCTTAGTTTGTTTTGTTATTGGTTAGTTTTATTTTACATTTTATTTTTTAAGCAAATTGTCTATTAAGCGTTTCTATATTAAGTTTCGGTTTCAGTTTTAGTTTTAGCAGTACCTGTTGTTCGTTATGTTTAGTTTTAGTTTTTCATTTTCTGTAAAGGCGACATGCTGGCTCAGTGGTTAGCAGTGTCACTTAAACCTCCATGTGCTCGGGTTTCTTCCACAGTCTAAAGACATGCATTATTGCCTTGCACTATTATGTTTTTCTCTTCTTTTTCATTCTTTTATATAACATTTTATCTGTTTTTATTTTTTGTTGTTTTTTTATAATTTTTATTATTTGTTTTTATTTTCTTAAACTTTTTTTTTTATTCTTGTTTATGTAAAGCACTTTGAATTGCCACTGTGTATGAAATGTGCTATATAAATAAACTTGCCTTGCCTAAAGGTAAATTGAATAAACTAAATTGGCTGTAGTGTATATGACTGTATGTGTGAATGAGTGTGTAAGGGTGTTTCCCAATTGCTGGGTTGCAGCAGGAAGGGCATCGGCTGTGTAAAACATATGCTGGAATAGTTAGCGGTTCATTCCGCTGTTGCGACCTCTAGAGACTAAGCTAAATTAATAAAATGAATGAATGAATACTTTTTTTTGGTTTATTTTTTTATTTCAACAAAAATGTTTTTTTGAACATTTTTTTAGTCTTCGCTTACTAAAATAACCTTGCTTCCATTTTTGATAAAGTGTTTTATGTTTTGATTTAATTCGCAAAACTTTTCATCTTATTTACTGAGAACTAAAATGATCCTTGATAAAAAAAAAAAAAGTAATCAAGAAGACATGTTAAACATTGCCTAATCAGCATCAGTGAAATCTCAGATAAGTCTTTTTTTTCTTTCTTGCTTTCTGCTCTCCTCATCCTCCGCTGATGTCTGATTTGGCTTGCGCTTGCCTGAGTTATTGATCTGACTGTGTGATTGATGGAAAGTTCTGCCCCATCATTCGTCTCGTCCCTCTCCAATACCAATAGCAGAACTTTTGTTTGTTAAATGACTGCATCCAGCAGTCAGCCGATGCACTGCTCCCCTCTGGCTTGTTCCTGCACACTTATCTCTCATTCTGTCCCTACAAAACACTCCAGTGCTCCTCTCGCTCTTTTGCAATCCGTTTAGGGATTACATTTGAAACTTGTGATACTGATTGTTTTTTGTGGTCCTGTTTTGAGTCACATTTACTTGTACCAGCTTGACCAGTGTAAAAGCTGTTATCAAAGGAAAGTGAATTAAAATGCGATCAAATAAAATTATAAAGCAGATTTTTATAAAATCAGCTGTGTTTGCAACAATGATTATTTAAAAATAAAGTAACATCTGAACAGTTTACCAAACAATACATTTCTCTCACTTTCAAAAACAAATGAGCATTCATTCATTCATTTAATCATTCATTCATACATTCATTCATTTCTTTTCGGCTTAGTCCCTTTATTAATCCGGCTTAGTTCCACTTTATTAAACAGTGGAATGAACCACTAACTTACACAGTGGATGCCCTTCCAGCTGCAACCCACCTCTGGGAAACATCCATACACACTTATTCACCCTCATACTCTATAGACAATTTAGCTTACCCTATTCACCCTATTCACGAATCAAACAAAATCCGCAAAAACTTGCGGCTGGTCCAAGTCCTCCCCCGGAGATGCATCTGTCTTTAGCAATAGCTGGTTGGCTCCTGTTCTAGAAGGCAGGGCTATATTCTTGACTGTTACACTTCTATCCATACAAAACTATACGAGTGACATGATGGTAAAATATTTAAGTAATAAATTATGTATTTATTTGTTTGGTTGAGAGGAAATAATAGTTGCTGGACCTCTTTGTGGAAGACTGCTGGTCTAGTTCAAAGTAACCAATGAAAGAGTGAGAAAAGTCTTTCTATCCTCAGACTCCCTTTTTAATTTCATACACGCTCTTTCATCGTTCCCACTTTGCCTATCAGCATTCTCTCTATCTCTTCAGACCCCCCCCCCCCCTCTTTCTCTCTCTCTCTGATGTCTAAGCCTGATGCACTAAGTGACAATCTATGCCAAGTCTGGCACCTTATTTAGATTCAGGCTAATTAAGAAAGCCAAGTGGGTTTTGCAGCACCGCAAACAACATTATTCAGAAGTTGCGCCAGCTCTTTAACTGTCTCTCCCCCTCTCATCATCTGTTATCTCCAGCTCTAGGCTCATCGTCCCCTGGCCCCCGGTTCCCTGCGACTAGTGGATTTCATCCCAGGCTTAAATACAGCAGCATCAGGACCAGCCAGATCACCTGAGAAGAAGAGGAGGATAAAACAGGTGAGAACTGCTGTAGTCAGATTGTAATTGTGGAGGTGCTGCTGTTTTTTTGTCCGTCTGTGTACTGATTGTTAAACACTATCCAAGCAAGCGACATTGTGAAATGCTACATGTGTTAAAAAACAGGCTATGTGCAAATTTGCTGCGAAAGCATTTGTTTCTTCTGTTCACAGTTTTTTTCAGCAAGTATCAAAGCTGCCCCAGGCTGACAGGCGCTGTTGTTTGTGTTTTTGTAAATGATGATGGACCTGTCGTGTCACTTTCCGTCTCTTACACACACACATAGACAGCCCGCTCATGAAGACAGAAATCTGCACCTTCCTGTTCTCAAACACATAAGACATAGATGTTTTATTTACCTTGGATAACCCCACAGATGTTTTTTGCTCTCTTTAACAGTAAAATGAAATGTCAAATGGCCTTGCTTCTGTTCACTGCTTATAACCAGTGTCGGGGGTAATACGTTAAAAGTAACGCCGCTACGTAATAATACTACTTTTCCAAAGTAACAAGTAATATAATGCATTACTTTTAAAAATATGTAATATTATTTGAGTGACTTGTATAACAAAAATGTAGCATTAGTTACTTTTACTTTGCTATGGCTTTAAAAAACATATTGCGTTAAATATATCATATCTACATATCTAGTTAAAACAAACAATTCATTCGCGAATCGCCCCTCATCACTACAGACAGTCAGAATGACAGGCCAGAGACTTATGTTTTTGCAATGAATTCTTAATATTTTGAACTTATCGAAGAAAAGAAGTGGATTGTTGTTAAGTGTAGATTATGTGCAAGTAAAACTTTGAACAACCGCAAAAAACACGATATCGATAAAAACAAAACTGGATGCGAAGCATTACACCCGCACCACACCTCAAGCTAAACAACAAATGATTTACATCAGTTCACATTCTCCAGTTAAAACAATTAATTTGAATAAACTCAAAAAATGGTAACTGTTTTTATTGTTGAGGTGGTGCAGCCACTGTCCAACGTTACTGTAGAAGCAACTTACGTTTTGTAATACAGTACGATTTTTTTTTTCTTTTTGGAAATGATTTACACCTTTGTTAAGGCCATGTGAAGCAATTTATTAAAGCTCAAAGATTTATTTGATTTGGATTTTTTTATCGTCCTTCTGCTCATTTGGTTATTACACATTTTAAAGGTTTAAAATCTGTTTGTGCCTTAATAAATTATTTCTTGTTAGTATTCTTAGGCTTTATTGCAGTCTTTATTTCAATGGAAAGTGATTTTACTTAACTAATGACACAAAACATTCAAAAGTAGCAAACACATTACTTTTACACTTTACTTTTACACTACTGCTTTCATCAGCCTGTATATACAGCACCTATAACTCTGGACTCAGAAAGTTCTTAAAATATAGTTTTATCCTAAATTTTTTAAAGGTAAATGAAGGTGTAGGTTTTATACGTGGTTGTTAAATACAGAGCTTCTTGATAAAAAAGGTGAAAGAGATCAAATCTCAGCCAAGTAAAGAAAAGTAATGCAAATGTAACTCAAAAGTAATATAATGCTTTACTTTCCATAAAAAGTAATGCACATAGTTACTTTTTTAGGGGGAGTGACTCAATATTGTAATGCACTACTTTCAAAAGTAACTTTTTTATATTATATTATATAATGTTACATTATATTACATTACACGAAATTATATTATATTATATTATATTATATTATATTATATTATATTATATTATATTATATTATATTATATTATATTATATTACATTATATTATACTATATTAGATTATATTTATTATTATATTATATTATATTATATTATTTTATATTAGAATAAATTATATTTATTATGTCATTATATTATATTATATTATATTATATTATATTATATTATATTATATTATATTATATTATATTATATTATATTATATTATATTATATTATATCAGACAAAGTGGCTAAAACTTATATAAATACTCATTCTATAAACTTTTATTTCATTCTATCAATGGAATTGTATATTCTGAGAAATTACATTATAATGAACTTTTATAATGACATTTTAAAATAATTTTTATCCATAATTTAGCTTATATTCCATAAGTTACATGAAGGTTTGTTGCAAGCACAAATCAGTCACTGTAAGACAGCCAGAGAGCATGTGAAAAAGGTGTGTGTGTGATTAGTGTGTGCAGATCGAGTGTGTTTAGAGACACAGGTGACCTTCCATGTTCAGTAGGAGGCAGCGAGGGCTCATCTGCTGATCTTCCCTCCGGCTAGATTACTACAGGGAGAAACTCCGGCTGTGTGAGGTGTCTGTCCTCGCTCAGCCGCTGAGAGCTCAATGTGTGTAGTATGTGTGAAATGGCTATTCTGTAATGACTGCTGTGGCACTCTGTTGACAGTAAAGGTCGGTCATGTAGAGCACATTAAGCCAGGACCTTTAGGGAAGGCACAAATACATACGGTGAGTGAGAATGAGTGTGTGTGCATGTGTGTGTGGTTCATGTGAGGAGCGACTGCACTATTGAGAAGCACATAATGGCTGCCTCTCCACCCACCGCGATTAACACAGGAACTCTATTATTACTGGCTGACAGCAGTGCTTAAGAGTGCCGTTTCCACCCCTGTCCTACCCTGCCAACCCGGCTTATAATCACAAGTGCTGCTGCATTCCTTTTTCATCCATCCATCTATCCATCCATTTCTCTTGGAACACAACTGAAGATGGGTCTCCGTCAGGGTAACTCACCCAGAACAACAGGCTTTATTTGCATGTGCAGTTTACACTGTAAGATATTTGACCTTAAATTTGCAGAAAATTACTAACTAATAATTGCATTACTTTCACATAAGGTACTGTATATAAATTCACTGTAAATTACTGTGAGGTACTTCATATCAATAATTCTGTAAATATTTCTAAATATTAAAAAGTGCCTTTACTAGCATAAATTATAATGTGTATTAATTTCTATGTTGATAAAATATTAATAGTATTTGATATATATAATTTTTACAGTAATTTGATGTACTTTTTTAAGGATGGAAAAATATGCTCTGTGCTATGGCGCATGGTCTAACAGGGTTGTGCTTTTTCTCTTAATGAGTTATGGGTGTGTTTTGAGCATAACATGCATTAAACCAATCAGAGTCTCATCTCCCATTCCCTTTAAGAGTCAGTTGTATCACATCATGTCGCATTTGCTATTTACATGGCAGACTTTGTAAGTGGAAAAATGAATGCTTCACTAGTGAGAAAACAATCAAACAGACCATCTTCAGCATGACTATAAAGAATGAGCCTCCACTATTCGACCTCTTTACTTTCTTTTTATTTCACTTTTTACTTCTTTACTTTTGTTGATAAGGAAACGGTGTTGTACGCACTCAACTGAAGACATCCAGTAGTCTACTTATTTAATTTTTTTCTTGTGAAGCACAAAGATTTGTTTGAAAACTATTTCTAAATTCAGGTCTAATTTCAGGCAAACGAATAAATGAACAATAATAACAAAATGTGTATAGTAACGCATACATTTCCAAAACCCAATGGGTGGACAAATCTAAACTTGTTTTTATTAAAACAAATATAAAAATGTACATGATAAATAATACTGCCAATAATAATTATAACATTATACAAACGCAAATTATCATGAATAAACTAAATAAGTCCCTAAGAGGTAGAAGGCATGTAGCAGTGGTTTTCATTTTTATGTTGGAAAAAATATTTTTGTAACATTTTAATCTTTTAATTTTTTAATGTGTAAAGATTTTTGGGTACTGCTGTACATCCTGTGTGTATTAAGCAATGTGTAAGCCTTTGAACCCACATAGGGGCATAACTAACCCACTGGACTTTAGACTTGTTTTTAGATGGTCAATGGTGCGGCCTATTACAGATCCTCAAAATAGCATGTGCCAACAATGCGCCTTAACACACCTCCATTTTAGACCAGCACAGCCATGAGTCTACAAAGTGGCACAAATAGATTTTCTATTTAAACAACTTGATGCAAAATGTGAAAATTAGGGTTGTTCTGGTCTCATGTCTTGCGCTTTATTGCGCCAGATGTATGATAGGGCCTATAGACAGCAATTCTTTGCAATTCTATGTGTTTTATGAAATAAAAGCCATAAGAAGACAAAGCTCAAGACAAGCTCATCTTGAAATGCATTTGTAGTGTATCCGAGGGAGAGGGTGTGGCAAATAAAGCAGCTTCTCCCCTTTTTTTCTAAATAGCCAGTAGTTAAATTGATATCATCTCATCCTTGATGATTTCCAAATGTTAATTGGAGTATTGTATTTTCTGCTTCATGACTTGCACCAGTTGCTCTGAAGCTGAAGCAACTTGTTGAAATGTCAGTTTTTACATTTCTTAAAGATATTTGAAATTAATTATTTAGAATTTAAACAAAGAGAAGATATAAAAGGCAGTGCCACCAAACTATCGGTATCGTCAGATATCACACTGAACAGCAAAAGTCTAAGAAAGATCTGTTCTTTTTAATAAAATAAAATAATGTCTACTTTCTAGATGGATATTGCTTTTATTCAACAGTAGAAGATTGTGTAATTTAATTTTTTGACATTTCGCATGACTTTTCTAATCTCTTTTTGCTCTGTCAAAAGAAGCAGATAGAATGATTTAGCAGTGAACAAATGATTCAGTGGCTCATTCATAAAGGCATCCATAAATGAATTAGCGTTTTAAAAAAAACATCACAGACAATGATGTAAAAAAGGAAAAGTCTCTGTGCTTTCTGATTAAACTCAAAGATCAGAACTAGCAGTTGTGTGATATTTATAATTTACATAGATAGTGGGACATTTTATTTTTCCAAGAGTCTATATGCATACATTTGTCATTTAGATTGGAAAGAACTGTCTTTCAGTGCACAGGGTTTAATCTGTGACAAGACTTTGTTGTGAGAGGGTGTCGACTCAGTTGTGTTGTGTCTTTATCTGTGACTTGATCCAGTGGACTCTTATCATGGT